CCACAACAAATACGTAAAAACAGCTGCATAAAACATCTGTCAGGATTACAAACCACGCCCCTTACAAGTCACACCCATTATTACAAGGTACGCCCACAACGAATACGTAAAACACTGGGTTAGGTTTAGGCTTAGGCTTAGGGTTAGGGGGAGTGGGCGTGGTAATGTGTAGTTTGATTTGCTAGTGGGCGTTCCTTGTAATGGGTGTGGTTTGTAGTCTTGCAGGATGCAGACAGGTCCTTCTCGGTTGGTGTGGGATTTTAGAGATTTGGAAATCTGGCAACCTTGGCGTTAGGGTAGAGCTGAGTGGCGGAGCTGGGAGAACTCGCTGCTCTCATGTCTGGGAAGGGAGGGTGTGTGTGGATGTGTGTGTGTGTTAGTTTGATCTACCTGGATGACCACGGCTTTTGAGCTGTACGTTTATTTCTTTAATTTACTGTAAAATGTAGCTGTGTATTTGAGGAGTAGCAGTGTATAACGGAGCCTCAGTGCTAAAGCAGTTGTTGTTGTTGATGATGATGACGGCATTATTTGGGAAAGTTAAAATCAGACTCGTTTCCGACTTGCAGACGCGTTTGCTCATTTCCTGTTGCTGAACGCTGGGAACAGCACTTTCCCTCCTCCCTGAAAGTTTATTCTGGGTAAGTAGTGTAGTGTGCTCTAGTGTGGAGCCAGAATAATCTTGTTTTGAGCTTGTTAAGAGGCTGGACAGTGAGGACATGGTAGTGTTCTGTTCATGTGTGTGAAAGCTAAGCTTTTAGCAACGCTAGCTGTGGCAGTCGAGTCATTCCTCATATCGACAGCTGTCTGGTTTACCTCACCAAATAAATGTAATTTCACCTCCAATAAAAAGTCACCTGTGCTCTGAAACACTCTGCTTCAGTACAGAGAAGAGACTTTCTGCCTCAGAGCAACTTCCTCTGGAGTCAAAGCAGATAATCAAATTGGAAACCAGGATATTCTCACACACACACAGACAGAGAGAGGATAAGCCTCGTCCTAAACCGCGTAATCCAATACTAAACAGTGTGGCGAAAGAGATGACGTCACTCATGGCTACCACCTGTGTCAGCGTCATATATTGTATTAGTGTTTAGTGCGGTTGTGTGCGGTTTAGGACACAGCCCGTGACTCCAGAAGTACACTAGCTCTGTATGAAGTTAACTGCTGATTCTACTTCAGGGTTTGGTTTTTTTTTCTAGGTCTAGGCTGCATGTAGGTTCATTAGTAGTAAATGTTCTCTAAAGAGTCAGTTATCTAACTAACCTGCTGAAAAAGGCCATGTTTACCAGCTGCTAAGTGCTGGAACGTGGAAAGTTTCTGGATCATCACTACTAATTCAACACCAAGTTGTTTTTAAGAAATTAATTTCCCTCTGGGATTAATAAAGAGATCTGGCTTTGTATCTAATATGACAGTAAGGGAATTAGAAAATGTCAGCCATTTAATAATCAGTTTAGTGAAGTAATAAGGAAGTTGTTCTGGTAGTGATGGTCTTCCAGTCTGATCGGTGTGTGTTTTGGTAGCAGGTCCCAGCAAGCTGTAGTTTTATTTTACTTTGAGTCATACAGGCTTCATGGGAATGTCTGGTCTCTGTCGTTCATTGCTCGAGAGGCTGTAGTGACTTTTAAAGGGACTGAACTTGAAACTCTGTGCACTTTGACTTTGAAATAACTGACCTCTTATTGACGTATGTCATCTTCAGCTTTTGTATGTGAACTGTTAGGACTTTACAGGAATCACTTGCTTTTGTATCTGTAACAATTCCAGTTACTTTGTGTGAAAAATCTGGTGTTTGTTTTCACGTTCTTTAAAAGTTTCTCTAACTATTTGACCTTGCTGTGTAGGATGCTAAATAGCATTTGATAAAGTGTGTGAAGATGAGTGTGACCTCGTGGTTCCTGGTGAGCAGCTCGGGCACACGCCACCGTTTGCCACGCGAGATGATCTTCGTTGGCCGAGAGGACTGCGAGCTGATGCTGCAGGTGAGACCCTACACACACACACACACACACACACACACACACACACACACAAACTCTGTACCAGTGGTTCTCAAAGTGCAGACCCCTAAGCGGTCCATGAAGCAGAGCAGGGGTCTGTGATGGAACCGGTGGAAATCACAACCCAGCATTATCAAAGCCATTACATTTATTATTGAGTTCTTATAGTTATTAATCTGTTTGACTGGTTAGTAACTCAAAAACAAATAGTCCTATAAATAATGTAAACTTGGAACTAATGTGTTCTTTGGATGGAAAGTTGAGGAGTAGAAAGCCTTGTGGCTGGAATAAATAGACAAAATATAATTGTACACTATATATAATTATATATAACTATATATAATTCAATCATATTCAAGTGGAATTTATTTAACAGTTGAAGGGGTCAGTGTAAGAATCCCTGTTCTATACACCATGTTGTTGCTCTTCTTTCGGCTGTTCCTGTTAGGGGTCACCACAGTGAGTGGATCATTGGTCCGTGTATTTGATTTGGCACAGTTTTTATGCCGGATGCTCTTCCTGACGCAACCCTCCCTAGTTTTATCCGGGCTTGGGACCGGCACTGTGAGTGCACTGTCTTGTGCAACCCCAGTAGCTGGGGCTGGTTCCCTGGCTGGGAATCGAACCTGAGCCGTGGCGGTGAGAGCGTCGAGGCCTAATCACTAGTCCTCCAGGGACCTCCTGCTCTATATACCACATTTCTTTCAAAATCCATAATAACCTTTCTTGCGGTCTCTGATATTTAAAAGTTTTCCAGAGAGCAGGAGGGCGATAGTTTACAGAGGTGAGGATGATTCATTTTAAAATAGAATTTGTATTTGAAACCTGACAATGAATCTACACAGTTTAAAATGAAGCACTGGTTGTTAAAGCAAAAAGTTTATATCATTACCCGTCATTACACGCTGCATCGACATCGACATGATTCATCATAGAGCTTGGATCATAAAAAAAAAAAGTAGAAAGCTATGTCCAAGTGGGCTAAAATAAATGTTGTGAACAAAAAAGCAATTATCCAAAGTTATCACATGACACCACTCTCTCAGTGCCTCTAAAGTCCAAAACCACCTTTAAGAACGTTATCATGATGCGGGTCTTTACTGTAACCGTTGTGGCTTACCTACTGACATCGAAAAAGTGCCACACACAATCTACATCATCAGTCAATACACAGCTTGAGTTGTTTGCTTTGTGTACAGAAATGTGCACAGTGTAGATAGATATCACACTGATGTACTAACACGCTGCATATGAAAATTTTCAAACTAAGAGAGCCTAAAAGATGATTGGTCTTTGCATAAGGCTAAAGTCATTTAAAAAAAGTTCTGTTTATTTGATTATGATGTTCATCTGATGTTTGTATTGGAGGGAAAACCCACAGCTTGAGCTGGTTGTGATTGTGCTTCAGTAATCTTATAGATGGGGGAGAACTGTAACTTCCACCATGTCAGCGTTTCTACCGCATGGGTCTGATAGCGGTGTTTGGAAACACTCTCTCTCTCTCTCTCTCTCTCTCTCTCTCTCTCTCTCTCTCTCGGTCTTGCTCTCTTTCCCCACTCCCTCCTTTTCCCTTGTCTATGTAGGCCACTGGAAACCGCTCTCCCTTTAAAACTGTTTATTCATTTCACTTTTATGTGCGGTTAGTTTATAATGCTTTCCTCACCACATTGGTTAGCTCAAATAAAAAAAGCTCATCTTGTCTACATTCATGTGCTCACCGTTACATAAACCTCAGCCTCTCTCCTTTTTTTTCTCCAAAAGCTTGTGATCTTTTTGTGTAAATGCTCATTCTTTATGCTTAGGTGAACACTGATATGTTCATAGCGTGCCTCCTGGCCTCAGGCTTTTGGTTGTGCTAAACAATGTCAACACATGAAACAATGCATCAGAAACTCTCATAGCAGCTGTGGTTTAAAGACTTGAAACATGAGGCTCCTGTTTGTTTTTAGTGACAGTCTGACATGTCTCAAATGAGGATTGGTTAGGCTAAATTGCTGCACTTCCTTAAACACATACAGTGGATATAAAAAGTCTACACACCCCTGTTAAAATTGCAGGTTTTTATGAACAAACAGAAACATTTTAGGGGAAAAAAAGAAAAAACTTACAATAGCCTTGTTGTATAACCAGGTTATTGTATAACAACCTGGTCCTTTTATAATGGGTCATGTGACTGTGCTCAGAATGAACCAATCACATTCAAACTCATGTTCAAAAGTAATTATCATACAAATAGCTTACAAAGCATGTATGGGATCTCAAATGATCTTTTCAAAAGGTATCGATCAGGAGAGGAGTCCAAAAGCATTTCCAAAACATTTCTCCACATCATCAACAAGTGAAGAAAATGGGGCATCACAGTGACATTACCAAGAACAGGACATCCCTCTGAAATAAACGAAAGGACAAGAAGAAAACTTATCAGGGAGGCTGCCCAGAGACTTACAGCAACATTAAATGAGCTGCAGGAATATCTGGCAAGTACGGGTCACTCCCTGGATGTGACAGCAATCTCTTGTATTCTTCACATGCCTGGGGTAGGATGGCTAGACGCAAGCGCTTTCTCACCGAAAAAAACCCATCCAAGCATGCCTAAATTCTCCCAAACCATGTGGCAAAATGTGTAATGGTCTGAAGAGACCAAGGTAGAACATTTTAGGGCATAATCCTAAAAGATATTTTTGGTGAAGAAACAAGAGAGGTTATCACCCAAATAACACCATAACCATGATGAAGCGTGGTGGTGACAGCATCATGCTATGGCACTGCTTCTCTTTAGTCGGGGTTGGGGCTCTATTCAGGATAGAGGGGGTCGATTATAGCTCCAAATACCAATCTATTTTGGCAAAAAATCTGCAGTTAGGCAGCTGAACCTGCCTCTGTTAGACAGCTGAAGATGAAGAAAAATCTCGCATTTTTTAAATGAAGAGTGGAATAAATTTGCCAAATGAAGATGGTAGACTCTTACCCACAAAGTCTGAGAGCTGTATTACAAGCCAAAGGTGCTTTAACAAAGTATTAGTTAAGCAGTACATAGGCTGCTACTTCTTATGTTTACACTATTTCAGCAACTTATATTGTACTCTTTGCACTATTGTCACTGGATTCACTTTCTAATAGAACTGTGTACTGGTCGGCGCTACACTGGGACTTACTGTGCCCATTGTCTATCCCAGGAGTCATTGTACTGTCTTGTGCTGTCTGCACATGTTTGCACTTGTGCACTTTATGTATAAATTGATATAGTCCCTTGTGGTTCTGTGTTGTTCTGTGTCTGTCTTAAGTAGCACCTTGGTCCTGGAGAAACGTTGTTTCGTTTCACTATGTACTAACTGGCTGTATATGGTTGAAATGACAATAAACTCCACTTGACTTGACTTGACTTGGGTGTGCCCACTTATGCAACCAGGTTATTGTAAGTTTTTTTCTTTCTCTGTTTTTCCTGAAATATTTCTTTTTTTTTTTAACTTAAATTTGGTTGGTTGCTATATCACATTAAAGGTGGAAAAAGATCTGGCATGATTTATTTTGGTTTCATTTTTTAAATATAAAGCGAGCGACTCATTACTGTTCAGTGGAAGCCCATTTCAATATAGGGCAGCGTTAAATGCCAGAAAGCTTCTATTCATTGCCTTGTTCTGCTTTTTAAAGTGCAGGACAATAAGGGGGACACAGTAAGCAGAAGGTTCAGGATGTTTCAGAGGTCTGAGTTCTTCCCTGGCTTTGGCCACAAACTCACAGAGGCGTCTCTGATGAGCTCTAATAAGGCTGCAAATGAGTTTGGCTTCAGAGCACAGCTTCCCCCTGATGTGTGGAAGATAAGACTACAAAAGATAACACAAATAAAAGCGTGTCTGTAATTGTGTTTTCCTCTGAACTTTTGCTGATACATTGTTTCCTTTGTTGCAGTTTCAACAGAAAATGAATTAATTTTGATTTATTCCTAATTGGTCTCAAGTTTTGTTTGTGTAATTGCATGATGGTATGGAATGATATACATATAACAAGTGTATTTGACTAAAATTTGTAAAGGTACAAAAATTCCTTGCTTACAAATGTCCAGATAAGCAGCTAACATGACTGAATTGTGAAAGCACTTACCGTTTTATTTATGGCTATAAATAAGATCATTCAAAGTGGTTATGTTTTGTTTCATAGTGATGTTTTATGTTACCATTTTTGACCTGCGCCACGAACACTGAACAGATGAGACACATAGCGAAATAAACTCATATCCACTCTTCTATAAATATTCTGTTGTTGACGGTTTGTTTGTTTGTTTTAAACAAGCCATGTTGGCAGTTTGCCAATTAGACAAGTGAGTGTAAATGAAATGAAAAACCTCTGAAATTCTGTCAAAACTCTCCCCTTTCTAGCGTAATTTAACTAGCTCTGTAGCTTGTCTTTGGTCCGATGAGCTGCCTTCAGCTAAATAATTTACATAAATGCATGTGATTGGAAGCCGTACTGGTTCATGTTTAGAGTCGCTGAACTTTCTTGCACAATATCCAAGTGCGTTGTTTACAAGTTTGTTTACACGTATTTTTTTGTATAGAGACAAGTCCCCTCCTTCTCCCCATAGCTTTCCATTAGATTTTTTTCTTTTTGCGCTTTGCACTGTTCTGTCTTTACTGTGTTTATCTGTGAATGTTTGTCTTTACCACTGCTGTAACGCTGCAATTTACCTTGGGATCAATAACGTTTCTATCTATCTATATATCTATCTAGAGTCGCTGAACTTTGGCCAGTTTTTTTTTGTTGTTAATGTATCGGCTGTACTACACTATTTTTTCAACTACTCTGTTCGATCTGCTGAAGTCCTTTGCTTGGTTCACATCGGGCCCCAGTCTGCCTGTTCACAACCCTGGTACACTATATGACCAAAGTATGTGGACACTTGACCATCACACCCAAATATGGTTCTTCTCCAAATACATTGCCACAAAGTTTGTCTAGAATGTCAATGTGTGCTGTAGCATTACAGTTTCCCTTCACTGGAACTAAGGATCCCAAACCTGTTCCGGCATGACAATGCCCCTGTGCACAAAGCGAGGTCCAGGAAGACATGGTTTGCCAAGTTTGGAGTGGAAGAACTTGAGTAGCCTGTACAGAGCCCTGACTTCAACCCCACTGAGCACCTTTGGGATGAACTGGAACACCGAGTGCACACCAGGTCTTCTCACTCAACATCAGTGCCTGACTTCACTAATGCTCTTACGGCTGAATGAACACAAATCCCCACAGCCATGCTCCAAAATCTAGTGGAAAGCCTTCCCAGAAGAGTGTAGGTTATTATAACAGCACAGGGGGACTAAATCTGGAATGGGATGTTTAAAAAAGAACATATGTGTGTGATGGCCGGGTGTCACACACATTTGGCCATATAGTGTGTAGAGAATGTCTTTTCTCTCTTGCAGTTGAAGGTGGGTCTTTAAAATGCGGGAAGTTACTAAGTGTTGTGTGGGATGTGTGTGTGTGTGTATGTGGTTTTTTTTTTTTTTACAGTCTCGTAGTGTGGACAAACAGCATGCTGTGATCAACTATGACCCAACCACAGACGAGCACCTTGTTAAAGACCTGGGCAGTCTTAATGGGGTGAGTTCAGAGTGGATCATCATCTTATTTAAAAGCAGCCACATCCTACACCTGCACCACACATTATATCCATTTTATTAGA